TCAACCAGTCAGTTGTCCATGTGGATTGGAGTCTTCACCTGAAGATCAGAGTTGCCTTTCCGCTGTTTGTTGTCTAAAGTTATATCATTTATACTAAGTACGTTATATATTGAGCATTGTCTTTTGATATTACATTTATTTGTAGCTATACGTGAGATTTAACTTTCTAGGCCCACATATGGTGCGTACATAAAACCGGCTGCTACAGAATGTAGATATACATATGTCAGAAAGTGCACAGAAAATTACTCAAATGAAAGGCAAAGTTTTAGGTCCACTTCCTGTTGGCAGTTGGTCTGTCTCTTGTGATTAATTTTATTGTGTGCATTCTTGCCTGTCATGCAAAGGACAGCCAATCAAGTACTAAGGCCATATCATTTGAACTGTTATGCAAATACACATTCTCCTGTGTTCAATATTGGTATTAAGAAAAATGAGCTGCCCAGAATATTCTTGTTCACATGAGATGCGCCTCAACAGCAAGCACAGGTTCCTTACATAGTGGATCTTGCTCTGCCTAGATAAAACGTACCAACTCCAGACCACTAGAGTTTATCTAGTAATACCAGGACTTATTTCCAAGAAACAAACAACTTAGGAATTACGATTGAGTGTTGAATCCTGTGAAACCGTTAGATATTAACAAGGAACTTCTCTTTGTATGCACCTTTATATTTTTTATTAATATATATAATCAGCAGGGACTTTACAGATCCAATTTTCTTTTAAAAAATATGGATATCTTATAGTTGTATTTGTTAGGAAATTTTGCCACCTACTTCTACACTATGTACGAGTATGTTGACTATGCACTCATAATTTGACGCACCAAAGTGAATTGTTAGATTTTTTTCTCTTTCTTATTAATATTGTCGTTTCTAGTCTCTTGTAAGTTTTTTTTTCAGAGCTTAAATATTCAAAGTGACCTTGAATGTAAGAAAAATGAGTTATTTCATCCAAATTTTACTTAAATGAAAACAGAAGAAAGAGAAAAACACACGAATAGAATAAAAGAGTATTCACAAAATAGGAATGGAAAAACACATGAAATAAATTTTACGTGAGACTCGATGGGAGAGAAAAAGGCAAGTAGCCAAGCATCTCAAACACATGTAGTACTGTACTAATCAGCTTTGTGACCTACTGAAAAGTGACAGTAGTGCAGATCACCCTCGTGTTCCTACGCTTTGCCTCTGCTTCAGCGAAAGAAGTGAAAACCATAGATTTTGTTTTTCATTAATGTAAAATTGCTGAATAGCTGTAGGATTCCAGAGGAAAGGGAGCAGAGGGAAGAAGCAAGGGATCTAGATGTGACAGGAGCAGACCTGAGAGCGTGCGGCGGGTTGGTGCTGTCGCTGTTGGCAAGGCTCCACTTCAACAGGTCGTTCCAGTAGAGGGGGAGCGGGGTCCTTTGTCATCCCCCTTCTCTTGCTGGGCAGCGATGAGACAAGAGATGAATAGTAGGGTTCTGCAAGATTTAAATACTTCTCAGCCATGACAAATGGCGATAAGCTGTTTTAATAGATTTAACGAGTCTTGTTTGGTTGAGTTGCCACTAACCCATTCACAAATCATGATGGACCACAACTGAAGACGTGGTGTGAACTAGAGTCTTTACGCGGACGTGGAGGCTCAGCGTGTAGCGTTGGGGCTGCTCTAAATTGCCATGATTTGTAGCAGACAACAGGAACACAGCATGCATAAGCAAAGCCACAAAATTATAGAACACGTCTGTAGATCATCTTGAGTTTGACAAATATTCCAGTCACATTTAATAAATAATAACTATCCTTTTTTTAGGATAATAACTAAGTGAGGGGGCAATTTGCAAACTGGCCGTGGCCCAATTGAGTGCACACATTTCACCGTCGGGGCGCTTCCCCTCCGATCGCCGGCGGCGGCTTCCGCGCCCCTGTTCCGGATGGAGAGCCAATTTAGCGCCAGCATCTCCACCGCCGGCGCCCGGCGGGTCACCACCATGGTCTCCAAGTAGCGAGGGCAACGGCAGGACGGCCCCCAACCCCAAGGACCAAGGTCGCCGCCGCCGCCGCCGAAATCGTGGGGGGGTGACTCTCGGTTGCCGCAACGATCTGGTCAGCCCCACCTTCCGCTTCTTCCCCTCTTCTTCCATTACACTTTTCTCTCCAATTTTTTTAATCCATGGCAAGCGTGTGCATCATCTTAGTTACACGCTCGAGCGGATCCGTTGCTGCTGCCACTAATTGCGACATGACAGTGCGATAGCAAGCTGAATCATCTGACGATGACTGAGGATACTTCGATGCAAGCGGGCACGCAAAGCAGAACCCACCGGATTGGAATGCTTTGGGAGCCTGGAGCTGAGGCCACCCTCCGGCAACTTGCAGACCAATTAATCATCTCACGATCTGGATCGGATGCTAATCTCGACGCCCTTCGCCCGTGCAGGCGAGATTGCCAGCCATAATGCAGACATGACAGCCTTGTAATCAAAGCTCAATGCGTGATGAGATTCTTGGCTTCGGTTGCAGCGTCTGAGCACGCAGTTGGTCACACCACACATGAGAATGATTCTCCTTGTCTGCTGGTTGAGCCCTGCTGTTGCTTCAGCCTCTCTCGCTATATAAACAAGGAAGCCAAAGCCGGGAAGAGACACCATTGTAGCAGCTTGCCTTTGATCTTGTCCTCTCTTCCATCTCCAGTAGCTTCACACCTTTCATCAATTCCAAGGATGGCATACCACCAGAGATCTGCGAGCGTGCCTTCAAGTCCTCGCTCCAGCAAGACTGATGTTGAGGAACAGCTGCAATGCCTGAAGGCAGCCGTCTCATTGCCTTCAGCGACCATTGAAACCATGGTCGATGGTTTGATCAAGCTCGGGAGCACCTACAACTGCATCGACGCGCTCACATGCTTGCCGAGCAGCCAGAGGAAAGCAGTGGAGGAGGAGCTCGAGCGCTCCCTCATACTGCTAGACCTCTGCAGCGCCGTCCAAGAGAGCTTCGTGGAGCTCAAGGCCACTGTCCAGGAGATGCAGTTGGCTCTCAAAAGAGGAGACGATGCGGCTCTGCAGACCAAGATTCAGTGCTATGCGCGCTTGGTCAAGAAGGCGCAGAAGCTGTTCAAGAAGGTCAACAAGAAGACTGCTTCTGACATCGAAGGATGCAGGGTTATCAGCCTGGTTGCTGAGGCGAGGGAGATTGCTGTGTCAATCCTTGAATCGACATTGCATCTCTTGTCGAAGCAGATCACGATGCCAAGTTCTAGCAAGTGGTCACTTGTCTCCAAGTCGTTCCAAAAGAAGAGAGTCCTTTGTGAGGCGGAGCAATTGCAAGGGTTGGAGTTGGACATTGTTGATCTTGAGAGCAGAGTTGGGACATTGTTCAGGACATTGATCCAGAGCAGAGTATCTCTTCTGAATACTCTTAGCTTGTAGACAGATCATAGAGCAACTCTGAGCCCCTGCGATTAGCATCCGCCTTTTAGAGGATTTGCTGATCATACAAACAATTTTGTATGTACAGATATAGTCAGAAACTGTACAGAAAATTACTCACATGAGAGGCAAAGTTTTTGCTCAAATTCCTGTTGGCAGTTGGTCTCTCTCTGCTGGCTAATTTTACTGTGTGCGTCCTTGTCTGTGATTCCTTTTTTTTTTTACATCATGCAAAGGCCAGCGAAACAATAACTAAGGTCAACATCATCTGAGTTGTTATTGAAATATGGTTTTCACATTATGAGAAAATGAGTTGGCCATAATATTCCTGTTCACATGAGATGTGCCTCAACAGCAAACCCAAAATCCTTGTACAGTGGTTCTTGCTCTCCCTAGCTAAGACATGCCAACTCCAAACCATGTGAATTTGTCTCCTACCACGATTTGTTTCCAAGAAACCAATAATTTAGCATTTACGGTTGAGTGAAATCCTGTACAACTGCACAGTTGATATTAATATGGGCCTTCTCTTTGTATACACCTTTATATTTTTTATTAACATATATAATCAGTAGGGGGTTTACCCCTCCAGTTTCCTCCAGAAAAAAAAACATGGATCTCTTATGGTTGTATTGTATTTGTAAGGACTTTGTGCCATCTACTTCTGCTCTATGTATGAGTATAATTAGGCAATACACTCATAGTTTTACCACCAAAATGAATTTGTTAGATCTTTTTGTCCTTTTTATTATTAATATGAATATATGATTCCTTCTAGCTTCTTATGATCTTTTTTTTCAGAGCGTTGATCTTCAGAGTGAACCCAAGGGTAAGAGAGATTCAGTAATTTCATCAAGATTTAACTTGAATGATGCATAGCAATTCATAAAAATAAGTGTTCAGCAACCAGATGACTTGCATGACAGCAACACTTACACTGCTGTGTCCATTAGAGAAGGGTTACAGTATGCACGAATGCACTATTGTTATGATTTGTTGCAGACAACAGGAGCAGGACATGCTCTAGCAAAGCCACAAAATTACAAACACGTCTGCAGATCGTCTTGTAGATTGCCAAAGGTGCTACACGCGTCAATTAAACAAAAAAAAGAATATGACAGCGATGCTCACTTCAATTAAACATATCAGAACCCAGCAGATCGGAATGCATGGGAACCTGGAGCTGGGAGGCGAAGTCAACTAGATGTTCGCCCCTCCACTGGCAACTTGCAGGCTAATTGATCCATCTTACAATCTGGATCAGATGCTCATCACGACGCCCTTCCGTCCGTGCAGGCGAGCTTGCCGGCCATAGCATAGACATGACAGCCTCGTAGTCAAGCTCAATGTACAATGCAGTTCTTATTAGTTGGCTTCGGTTGCCGCGCATAAGCACGCAGTTGGTCACACATGAGAATGATTCTCCCTGTCTGCTGGTTCAGCTCTGCAGTTGCATCCACCTCCTTCGCTATATAAACAAGGAAGCTGAAGCCCGGAACACACCATTGCAGCAGCTTGCCTTTGATCTTTCTTCTTTCCCACCCCCAGAAGTTTCAGTGTTGAACAGCTTTCACCAATTCCAAAGATGGCGTGCCACCTGAGATCTGCCAGCATGCCTTCAAGCCCTTGCTCCAGCGAGAACGATGTTGCGGAACAGATTCTGAGCCTGAAAGCAGCCATCTCTCTGCCTTCAGCGACCATCGAAACCATGGTGGATGGTCTGAGCAAGCTCGGGAGCATCTACATCCACATAGATGCGCTCACATGCGTGCCCAGCAGCCAGAGGAAGGCAGTTGAGGAGGAGCTCGAGCGCTCCCTCATCCTGCTCGACCTCTGCAGCGTCGTGCAAGAGAGCTTCGTGGAGCTCAAGGCCAGTGTCCTGGAGATGCAGTTGGCTCTCAAAAGAGGAGACGACGCGGCTCTCCAGACCAGGGTTCAGTGCTATGCGCGCTTGGTCAAGAAGGCACAAAAGCAGTTTAAGAAGGTCAACAAGAAGACTGCTTCTGACATCGAAGGATGCAGGGTTATCAGCCTGGTTGCTGAAGCTAGGGAGATTGCTCTGTCAATCCTCGAATCGACATTGCATCTCTTGTCGAAGCAGATTGCGATGCCAAGTTCTAGCAAGTGGTCACTTGTCTCCAAGTCGTTCCAAAAGAAAAGAGTCATGTGCGAGGCGGAGCAATTGCAAGGGTTGGAGCTGGACATTGTTGATCTTGAGAGCAGAGTTGGGACACTGTTCAGGACATTGATCCAGAGCAGAGTGTCCCTTCTGAATACTCTTAGCCTGTAGACAGATCATACAACAACTCTGACCCCCTGCGATTAGCATCCGCCTTTTAGAGGATTTGCTGATCATACAAACAATTTTGTGTGTACATATATATGAGAGAAAATGTACAGAAAAATACTCAAATGAGAGGCAAAGTTTTTGGTCAATTTCCTGTTGGCAGTTGGTCTCTCTCTCTTGTGGCTAACTTTATGGTGTGCATCCTTGCCAGTCATTCCTTTTTTTGTTTTGCTTCATGCAAAGGTCAGCGAAACTAGAACTAAGGTGAACATCATTTGAGCTGTTAGGGAAATACACGTGTTTTGGTATTCAACATTAGTATGAGAAAATGAGTTGGCCATAATATTCCTGTTCACATGAGATGTGCCTTAACAGCAAACCCAAGATCCTTTTACAGTGGATCTTGCTCTCCCTAGCTAAGACATGCCAACTCCAAACAATGAGAAATTATCTCCTACCACGATTTGTTTCCAAGAAACCAATAATTTAGCATTTACTGTTTTGTGGAATCCTGTACAACTGGACAGTTGATATTAATATAGGCCTTCTCTTTGTATACACCTTTATATTTTTTTATTAACAAAACAAATCAGTAGGGGTATAATTACGGTGCCTTATAGTTGTATTGTATTTCACAGGACCTTGTGCCATCTACTTCTGCTCTATTTACGAGTATAATTACGGTGTACACTCATAATTTTACCCACTAAAATGAATTTGTTAGATCTTTTGGTCCTTCTTTTTCTTTTTAATATGGTTCCATCTAGCCTCTTATAATTGTTTTTTTTTCAGAGCATGGATCTTCAGAGTGAACCCTGAGAGCATGAATCTTCAGAGTGAACCCAAAGGTAAGAAAGTTTCAGTAATTTCATGAAGATTTAACTTGAATGATACATAGCAAATTCATAAAAATAAGTATTTAGCAACCAGATGACTTGCATGACACCAACACTGCTCTATCCATTAGAGAAGGGTCAGAGGATGCACGAATGCACTATTGTCATGATTTGTTGCAGACAATAAGAGCACGACATGCTCTAGCAAAGCCACAAAATTACAAAACACGCCTGCAGATCGTCTTGTAGATTGCCAAAGGTGTTACACGCGTCAATTAAACAAAAATAATGAATATGCCAGCTGTGCTCAGTTCAATTAAACATAGCAGTACCCACCAGATCGGAATGCAATTCTTATTAGTTGTCTTGGGTGGGAGCGCTTGAGCACGCAGTGGGTCACACATGAGAATGATTCTCCCTGTCTGCTGGTTCAGCTGTGCAGTTGCATCCACCACCTTCGCTATATATACAAGGAAGCCGAAGCCCAGAAGACACCATTGCAACAGCTTGCCTTTGGTCTTTCTTCTTTCCCACTCCCAGAAGCTTCAGTATTTCACAGTTTTCACTGATTCCAAAGATGGCTTACCGCATGAGATCTGCGAGCGTGCCTTCGAGCCCTCGCTCCAGCAAGACCGATGTTGAGGAACAGGTTCTGAGCCTGAAAGCAGCCATCTCTCTGCCTTCAGCGACCATCGAAACCATGGTCGATGGTCTGAGCAAGCTCGGGAGCATCTACATCCACATAGATGCGCTCACATGGCTGCCCAGCAGCCAGAGGAAGGCAGTGGAGGAGGAGCTTGAGCGCTCCCTCGTCCTGCTCGACCTCTGCAGTGCCGTGCAAGAGCGCTTCGTGGAGCTCAAGGTCAGTATCCAGGAGATGCTGTTGGCTCTCAAAAGAGGAGACGATGCGGCTCTCCAGACCAGGGTTCAGTGCTATGCGCGTTTGGTCAAGAAGGCACAGAAGCTGTTCAAGAAGGTCAACAAGAAGACTGCTTCTGACACTGAAGGATGCAGGGTGATCAACCTGGTTGCTGAAGCAAGGGAGATTGCCATGTCAATCCTCGAATCAACATTTCATCTCGTGTCGAAGCAAATTGCGATGCCAAGTTCTAGCAAGTGGTCACTTGTCTCCAAGTCGTTCCAAAAGAAGAGAATCGTATGCGAGGCGGAGCAGTTGCAAGGTTTGGAGCTGGACATTGTTGGTCTTGAAAGCCCGTTGCAAGGTTTGGAGCTGGACATTGTTGGTCTTGAAAGCGGAGTTGGGACTTTGTTCAGGATGTTGATCCAGAGCAGAGTTTCTCTTCTGAATACTCTTAGCTTGTAGACCATACAACAAGTCAACAACTCTGATCCCCTGCGATTAGCATCCGCCTTTTAGAGGATTTGCTGATCATACAAACAATTTTGTATGTACAGATATATATGTCAGAAAGTGTACAGAAAATTACTCAAATGAGAGGCAAAGTTTTTGGTCCATTTCCTGTTGGCAGTTGGCCTCTCTCTGGTGGCTAATTTTATGGTGTGCATCCTTGCCTATGATTCGTTTTTTTTTACATCATGCAAATGCCAGCCAAACAATGACTAAGGTCAACATCATTCGAGCTGTTATGGAAACACGTTTTTTTGGTACTCAACATCAGTATGAGAAAATGAGTTGGCCATAACAGCAAGCCCAAGAACCTTATAAAGTGGATCTCCAGCTCCCTACCGAAAACATGCCAACTCCAAAGTCCAAACCTTGAGAATTTATCTCCTCCTAGCACGATTTGTTTCCAAGAAACTAATAACTAAGCATTTACTATTGAGTGGAATCCTGTGCAACTGCACATTTGATATTAATATGGTCCTTCTCTTTGTATACACATTTATCTTTTTGATTAATATATATAATCAGTAGTGGTTTTACCCCTCCAGTTTCCTCCCAAAAAACATAAATCTCTTATATTTGTATTTTATTTCACAAGACTCTGTGCCATTTACTTCTGCTCTATATATGATTATGATTAGGATATACACTCATAGTTTTGCCCACCAAAATGAATATATTAGATCTTTTTGCCCTTTTTCTTATTAATATGGTTCCTTCTAGCTTCTCATAATTGTTTTTTTTACAGAGAATGGATCTTCAGAGCGAACCCTCTGAGCATGACTCTTCAGAGTGAAACCAAAGGTAAGAAAGTTTCAGTAATTTCATCAATATTTCACTATAATGATATATAGAAAATTCATTGAATTAAGTGTTAAGCAACCAGATGACTTGCATGACACCAACACTGCCCTATCCATTCGAGAAGGGTCAGATGATGCACGGATGCGCTAGACTGAATTGTCATGATTTGTTGCAGACAACAGGAGCATGGCATGGTCTAGCTAAGCCTCAAAATTACAAAACACGTATGTAGATTATCTTGAAATTGCCAAAGGTGCTACACGCTTCAATTAAACAAAATTTTTTGAACATGCCAGCGATGCTCGCTTCAATTAAAAATAACAGAACCCATTAGATCGGAATGCATGGGAACCACCGAAACTTGAGCTGGGAGTCGAAGTCAACTAGATGTTCACCCCTCTACCGGCAACTTGCAGGCTAATTAATTCATCTGACGATCTGGATCTGATGCTAATCTCAACGCCCTTTCATCCGTGCAGGCGAGCTTGCCAGCCATAGCGCAGACATGACAGCCTCGTAATCAAGCTCAATGAGCAATGAGGTTCTTATTAGTTGGCTACCTGGCTTCGGTTGCAGCGCGTGAGAACACGGTCACACATGAGAATGATTCTCCCTGTCTGCTAGTTCAGCTCTGCAGTTGCATCCACCTCCTTCGCTATATAAACAAGGAAACTGAAGCGCAGAAGACACCACTGCTGCAGCTTGCCTTTGATCTTTCGTCTTTCCCACTCCCAGAAGTATCAGTGTTCCACAGCTTTCAGCCTTTCACCAATTCTATAGGATGGCGTGCCACCTGAGATCTGCGAGCGTGCCTTCAAGCCCTCGCTCCAACGAGACCGATGTTGAGGAACAGCTACAGAGCCTGAAGGCAGCCATCTCAGCGCCTTCAGCCACCATCGAAACCATGGTGGATGATCTGAGCAAGCTCGGGAGCATCTTCGACTGCATAGACGCCCTCACATGCATGCCCATCAGCCAGAGGAAGGCAGTGGAGGAGGAGCTCGAGCGCTCCCTCATCCTGCTCGACCTCTGCAGCACCGTGCAAGAGAGCTTTGTAGAGCTCAAGGCCAGCGTCCAGGAGATGCAGTTGGCTCTCAAAAGAGGAGACAACGCAGCTCTCCAGACCAAGATTCAGTGCTACGTGCGCTTAGCCAAGAAGGCGCAGAAGCTGTTCAAGAAGGTCAACAAGAAGACTGCCTCTGACATCGAAGGATGCAGGGTGATCAAGCTGGTTGCTGAAGCGAGAGAGATTGCCATGTCGGTCCTTGAATCGACGTTGCATCTCCTGTTGAAGCAAATTGCAATGCCGAGTTCTAGCAAGTGGTCACTCATCTCCATGTCGTTCCAAAAGAAGAGAATCATGTGCGAGGCGGAGCAATTACAAGGGTTGGAGCTGGACATTGTTGATCTTGAGAACGGAGTCGGGACTTTGTTCAGGACATTGATCCAGAGCAGAGTTTCTCTTCTCAATACTCTTAGCTTGTAGACAGATCACACAACACTCTGACCCCCTGCGATTAGCGTCTGCCTTTTAGAGGATTTGCTGATCATACAATCAATTTTGTATGTACAGATATATGACAGAAAGTGTACAGAAAATTACTCAGTTGAGAGGCAAAGTTTTTGGTCTATTTCACTTTGTCTCCTCTCGTCTCTCTCTTGTGACTACTTTTTGGTGTGTATTGTTTCCTGTGATTTTTTTGTTTGTTTTACATCATGCAAACCAGCAAAACAAAAATTGTTAAACTAGGTCTGCATCTTTTGAACTGTTATGAACACGTTTCCCAGTATTCGACATCTGTATGAGAAAAATGAGTTGGCCATAACAAGATTCTCATACAGTGGATCTTGCTCTCCCTAGCTAAAACATGCCAGTTCCAAACCACAAGACTTTATCTTGTAATACTATGACTTGTTTCTAAGAAACCAATAACTTGCAACTGCACAATTGTTTTTTCTTGAACATGAGGAGAGAGATGTATCATTATATTATAAGAAGAAAATTCTGACTGCACAGTTAGATATTAGTAACATGGACCTTCTCTTTGTATGCACCTTTATCTTTTTATATATATTAATATATATAATCAGTAGGGGTAAAACCCCTCCAGTTTCCTAAAAAACATGGATCTCTTATAGTAGTTGTATTGTATTTCCTAGGAAACTGTGCCATCTACTTCTACCCTATGTATATGAGTATAATTTGGCTATACACTCATAATTTGACCCACCAAAATGAATTGCTAGATCTTTCTGTCCTCTCTCTTATTAGTTATTAATATGTTTCTTTCTATTTTCTTTTTTTCAGAGCATGGATCTTCAAAGTGACTGCTAAGGTAAGAAAATTTGAGTAATTTCATCAAGATTTCACTTGAATGATACATAACAAATTCATCTAAAGTGTTTATCAACCAGATTGACACCAACACTGCTAAGTAAACAATATACGTGATTTGAGGATGCACGAATGCGCTAGACTGAATTGTCATGATTTGTTGTGGAGAACAGGAGCACAATATGCACAAAGCCACCAAATTACAATGCATGTCAGTAGATCATCTTGAGATTGCCAAAGATGCTACACGCTACAATTAAACAAAAAAAAAATGAACATGCCAATGATTCTGCATGAGGATTCACCAGAACCAGGCAACAGTTTAGCAGGCGTGAACAATGAGGTCAACTGCTGCCTCCACCACTCTACCAGCATCGTAACAGCTCTTCATCTTGCATTGCATAGCTTGCTCGATCTTTGCAACACCATGCAGGAGAGCTTTGGAGAACTCAAGATGAGCATCATGGACATGCAGATGGCTCTCAAGAGAGGAGACGATGCAGCTGTGCAAGTCATGATCCAGTCCTACATCCGATTGGTGAAGAAAGCACAGAAACAATTCAAGAAGATCAGCAAGAAGTCCATTGCAGCCGATCAGGAAAACTGCAGGGTCATCAAGCTATTGTCTGAAGCCAGAGAGGTTGCGGTCTCCATGCTAGAAACATCGTCACGTCTCTTGGCGGTGCCGAGTTCTAGCAAGTGGTCTCTTGTCTCAAAGACATTCCAGAAGAGGAGAGTTGTGAGTGAGGAGCAATTGCAGGAGTTAGAGTTGTACATTCTTGATGAGAGCGGAGTTGCGGCTTTGTTCAGGAAATTGATCCAGAGCAGAGACTGAATAGTCTTAGTTTATAGATAGATCATACAAAGTCTGACAGCCTGTGATCAGCATCCACCTTTTAGAGGATCTGCTGATCATCAATTTTTTTATGTAAATATGAGAGAAACTATCTACAAAGAAATTTAATCCACAAAGCAAAGTTTTGGTCCATCTGATGTTGTCATTTTTTGTGATCTCTTCCTTAATTTTCCTTAAACTTACCATGGATGACAGGCAAAGAGTTAAACAGTCACCAGAAACTGGAAGCTTCATTAGAAGAATGGTCGGGTCAGAGCTAATTTATCTAAAAGTTAGTAGTTCATGTTTGTATTTGAAAATTACAGATGAGATGGACACTGTTAGTATTCACATGGGATGTGGCTCAACAACAGGCACAAGATCCTTGTAAACTGGATCTTGCTCTCAACAACTAATAACATGCCAGTTTCAGGAAGATGGAATAACACGCAGGGAATATGACAGTAACCAGCACCAGAGTAAGCTGCCATGCTGATTCTTGTTGCCAATACTCGGAACATGATGATGCGATTCAGTTAGACCCAACGCATAATAAATTTGCACAGTATGTGGAGCAGTATCAGAAATGACAATTCAGATTCTAAATGTTGTAAGTAGAGCAGGCAGGCCAAGCATGCCAGCAATGCTTGCGCACGAAGAATCATGAATTGCGAAGTCAACTGTTCCTTCCGTCTCTTTCACTCTGGATGCAAGACTACTCACCGATCTCACAATCTCAATAAGAGATTAAAGTACACACTCGTGCAGATAAGTTTGCCGCCTCTGACCTAGACATCACATGTGGATCATAAGCTCCAGTGCAGTTAGAGATGCTTGTCATGGAGATGGCTGGTTTCGTTGCAAAAGGCCAGAAGCAGTGCATGACACAGCATTATCAGTTTGATTCTTGTTGTCTACAAGGTCATTAGGTCAGCAACGTCACTTCTTCAGCTTGTATCGTTATATATAGAGGTAAAACCATAGCCAAGAACACATCGTTGAAGCAGCTTCTCTTCTATGTCCTTCTCTTCCATTTCTAGGGAAAACAAAGCAGTACAGTTTCTACTACAACCATGGCTTGGTTGCCACCTCAGATCTGCTAGTGTGCCTTGGAGTCCTTGCTGCAATGACATGGATGTCGAGGAACAGCTGCAGTCTGCAGAGCTTGAAAGACAGCAATCTCTTTGCCTTCTTTAGACCATTTGGACCACGTGCAATAGTCTGAGAAAGCTTGAGGAAGTGTACAGCACCATCAGTGTCAGTGAGCTTGTGTGCTTAACCTTCAGCCATGCTACGCAGCAGCGGAAAGCAGTAGAGCAAGAGGTCGAGAGCAATCACTGGTCGTTCTTGATTGCTGCAACGCTATGCGCGTTGTCCAAAAAGGAACATAAACAATTCAGGGAATTCAGGGTCTGGGGCCGATTCTGCAATAAGCATCCACCTTTTAGAGGATCTGCTGAAATAGTCAGTTGAAAGAAAGCAGAGTTTTGATTCATTTCAAGCTGTAGATTTTGTGCACACTTCCCTAATTTCCCTTCATTTGTTGTTTGATCGAGGAAAACGGAAGCAATTTACTCGGAAGAATTATTGGTTACCGTGAAATGAATTATGGGAGGTGCTAGCGTCCGGATGTCCAGATGGATGCGCTCGTCCGGACGCCCATGCACCCCGGCTCGTCTGCTGCTTTTTCTCGTCCACCCCGCCGCGTGTCTAGGGACTCGCCTCAAACTCGCGGCCCGCCCTATCTACCTCGATTCGAGGCCGTTCGCCCCACCCCGCACTCGCACCCCATCCCCATCGCGCCCCAACCACAAGCCCCGAGGGTGCCCCGTCCGCAGGACACCAGCGCGCCGCACACCCCAGCCCCTAGCTCCCCAGTGCCTGCGCCGTAACACCATCACTCCCCGTGCCCCCTGACTTCTCCGAACAACATGAAAGATGTGCAACATAAAAAACTTGCATGCAACAAACGTATGCAACAGATGAAACATCTAGAACATACGCTTGCAACATATGTGTGAAACATATGTAACATCTAGATAAAACACTTGTAACTTGCAAAATAAAAACACTTGCTGTAACATAAGACTCAAAACAACTAAAAATTTTGGAACATATTGTTGCAATATATGTGTGAAACATATGCAACATCCATATCAGAACATTTTCAAATACGTCTAGAACAGATGAAACATTTTGAACAAACCTTTGAAACACTTCCAGCATGCCTATGAAACACTTGCAACATATGGAACATGTGTAACATCCCCGATCTACTTTTGCAACATCTATATGAACCAATTGCAACATACCTCTGAAACGTCTGAAATACTTGAAACATACGCTTATAACATGCGCTTTCATCGCAACATCTCCTTGTTGAGGTCGCGCACCGCAGCAGCCACTACGTCGACAGCGGCCACGACCTTCTGGTAGGGACCGACGGCGTCAGCAGCACCACGCCGCCCGCGGGGGATGAGGCACGATGCGTAACAGCGAGGGCGCGGCGCGCAGCGAGCTAGAGCGAGTGCGGCGAGGGATGGAGAGCGGCGCTGCGCTGCGATGGAGGGGGCGTGGCGCGCGATGGAGCGCAGCGCTGGATGGGGAAGCTGCGCGGCGTGAGATGGGGTGCGCGGCGGGGAAGACAGCAGCAGCGAGCGCACAACGCAGCAGCACGTGATGGGCGAGAGGCCAAGAGCAATGGGGAGATATTTTAGGGAGAGATGGGGAGACAAAGACAGTAAGCAGGCCTATTGGGCCCGTACGCGCAGGCCTGGAAAGTGGCATCCGGATGGACGGACGCTCGCTCCTGAGCATTACCGATGAATTATCAGTACAATTCATGTTTGTATTTGAAAATAATAAAAGATGAGATGGCCACAGGCCACTGTTAATATGCACATGGAATGTGGCTCAACAACAGGCATAGGATCCTTGTAAAGTGAATTTTAATCTGCTCTAACTTATAATGTGCCGGGTTAAGCCATGAACATGAGATTTGCGCAGTTGAGCTCACAATTCATAAGTGTTCACAAGTCAAATTAATGGTGAATAAAAAAAAACTCGACCGGTGAGGGAAGAATCGCCTTCACGGCAATGTTATAGGAAGGGACCGTATGACCCCGGTCAAGAAAACCCTCGAACCCTGGCACATACCCCGAAGGGCCGAGTGAACCGGGACAGATCATCAGGCCGGAGCCGACGCAGTCACCAGGCTCGCGTGCACAGCGAGGGGATTTTTTTTGGTGGCCGCACTGGGCCTTTGAACTCCGGTCGGCAGGGTGAGGCCTTAAGCCTAGCCTCACCTCCTGACCAGTCGAGCCGAAGCTCGCTCCCAAATTAATGGTGAATAATACAAAGGCCAGAAATGCAGCAACCGGCACTAGGGTATAAGCTGCCATGCATGCTTACTCATGCAAAAGATAATCATGTATTTAAATATCATCTTGAGATTGTTCAAAACTCACACTCACATTCTTAAAGCTGTGAACACGGGTTGCACAAAGTAAATTACACTTTAGCTGATCCTGATGCAACAAGGCACCGGTTTCCTATAAATCCACACAAGACAGACACGCAAGCAAGCTGTTTCTTAGAGCTGTTATAACTGCTTCCAGCTCAATGTTTCCCTGTAGATTTCCGGGACGGGACAGTACTTGGATAGCTCTCCGGGTGTGCCGAGTTCAAGGTGTCACGAAAGAAAACTGCAAACCTTTCCAAGCTGTACTGCTATGTATAATTTCTGGAATGGAAGACACAGAAGTGTGAACTTGTACCAAGTCCAAGCATATGTATTTCCTCCCACAAAATAATATTAAACAAAGTAAGCTTTACTGAAAACTGAGAAGAAAAACAGGAAAAGAAAGCAGATCTGTGCTGAAAACAAAAAACATGTCAAGAATGGGATTCGAACCCATGCCCTTTCAGACCAGTACCTGAAACTGGCGCCTTAGACCAACTCGGCCATCTTGACATATGCCTAAGAAACATAATTTTTATTGTTTTCAAGTAAAACTACCTATGTGTTGCAACAAAATATGCACCTCTACCTCATATGTGCTAATACATTTTAGAGTATAACTCTGTTATTTAGCTCGATACGTGCTATACTAACTCATACGAGTGTGACTCATGAGTTCAGATCACAGATGGGATAACAAACCAATTAGAACTCTAATATCAAATTTATCATGTACCACTATTCTTAGTAAAACGGGAGGAGTGGAGGGGAGGAAGAGTGTGATGGATCAAAATTTAGAGAAATAAAATCTCTCCTTTTAGTATTAGGTGTAGTAGCAAATATGCACATGCTATTACGCCCTGTTTAAGTAAGGTTTCGTCCTTACCAACTTGAGAGTTTCTTGAATGTTTATGTCAATTAATGGTAAAACATTGCTAGTTTAATGAATATAATAGTAATTCATATAGAATACAATTACTTGGGAAAGGAAAAAGAAAAGCAAGCACCTTCCGACCTCTGCGTTAGGAGGCTTCGATGAGTCCTACTGGTGGGCCTAACTAGTACTTTTCTTGGAGGATTAGTGAGCCTAATTAAGTAGAGAAGGCCCATTACATATGGCCGCCATGGAGCTTGCAGCCGGCTCACCCGTTTAGTACCAGCTCGCCTAACCAAGAAGCATGGCGGCGTAGACTCACTATATAAGGTGACCCAGGGCATCTAGCCAAATCATACCTTTCTCGGCCTTTTGGCTAAGATCAAGTGTAGTATCTGTTCTTATCAGTTTAATATCTGATATGTGAGACATCGTCTCACAATGATATTAAATTTATTTTTTATGGGGGAGGATCCACTATAGTAGCTTGCTACTAGGTTTCTCAAGTGCTGGTAATTCTATGATGAAAGAAATAAACATGGGAAGAAAAAATATTGTTTTTGCGATCCTGATAATTTGTGTTTTCTGTATCGCAAAATTAACTACTATTTTCTATAAAAGGACAGTAGTTACAGTTTCATTGCAATGGCTAGCTTAGCAGGATTG